TTTCGTCCACATGAACTGATGGTGCTGACACCATTTCCAAGCCGGTCCGTTTCAATCAGGGAGTGATTGGCCCTGGTACTCGGACTAATACCGGCATCGCCGAGGGATTACCGCAGGTATTCGATGGCATACCTACAGAGGCTTACACCTCTAATCTCCCCTTTAGCGGACGTAATAGTGTCACGAATAAAATTGGACCAGTTGTTCTAAATGTAAGCTGAATTGGCATTTGGAGCCTCAAAATATCCATCATACCATTGGAATACGTCCAATGACACTGTAATAAAGGCATCAGAACCAAGCGGTCACCACTCACCACTGAGTCCCAAGTCAGTTCAGTCCCAACTCCCAAGTCACTTATTACTTGGTTAAAAATACCAGTGCTTACATGTCCGGGTATTACTGGTAGCCAGGAGGCCAATTTCGTTTCGACCAAACAGTTGTTCACGAATATAGCAGGTCGTTAATTGGCTTTCAAGTGGCGTTTTTAACAATCAGATGATCAAAGATCTCCCTTGTCGTATTGTTGCCACCAATTTTCCACATGCAACTTGGAAAAGAACAAAATTAAACCAATTAAGCAGCGCCCCTCATTTTCCTGCATGCGTTGCAATCCATCTGTATTACAGCTGGCCTTAATAGAACATACACTGCTGCCCGTCTTAATTGTAGCCTAATCACGATCGTTATTTCATCGTTCGGTGTCCCATTAATTACTGAATAATGAATACTTTACCAAGATACTGGACATCCTATTAATTACTTAGAGGAAAACACAACAAGCTGAGTAACTTACAGCTGGGCCATTAAAGCAAAAATGTTGGATCTTGGAAAAACTGCAACAGTGTATAAATCATCTTCCAGTCCCTAGTGTTCTCATTTAGGCATGAGATCTATGTAAGCGGAAAGCGGACTTGGCTGATGCTGAAGTAACGCATAAGCATATGGTGTTCGGGTTCATTGGCTCCCAGACCTCGCTCAATATCAGACATCTGTCATCCTCTTGTACTCCCCCTCCCCCGTAAACCCATCAGCTGCGTCCCTGACGTACGTGTTGAAACGACTCTCCTACCGTCACTGCGCTCCGGTCCAGGTATTAGGGGAAGTTGGGGGAACGCCGAATACTTTTTTTCTGACGCCCGTAGCACGCAAGGTAGACAACATAAGCTATTCTTGTTGGCGGCATTCGAGAGGCCAGCCTTTTGCCTTTCAAACATACCAGGCGCATTTGATGAATTCGCATACCGTTAAGCGCACAAACTAAAAATATAAAAGAAGTGACTTTTTCGGCGTTGCCCCGGACTGCGGGGAAAGCCGAAAATGGGAGAAATGATCTACGGGAATGCCAAAATTGATGTTTTGCTATTTTATCTCAAATTTTATCCAGAATTCGTCAAAGCTGACACGCGTTTTAAATGCTTGAGGACGCTTGGTGCACACTGGATGTTATAATTGTGTGATATAATAAGAAAAGGCCAGGTAAATCATTCTTATGGTAACAGGCCGTTGTGTCGGTTAAAAGTGTAATTTGTGTGACTAAAAATACGCGTTGCTATTCTACAGCGGTAAAGTTCACGTAGCGTGCTTTAACCCGCGCGGGGCTGGGGTCTCCAGCCGAACGCGCGGGGCTGGGGGGGGGGTAAATTTTACCCCCCCCCCCCTGTTATCTCCCGAACTAATGGTCCGATTTGGAAAATTCAAACGCCAGTCGAAAGATCTCATCACGAACAACTAAAAACATGTACTTAATTTTAAGTTTGAGGTCAAGGTCAAGGTCAGGTCAAGGGTACAAATTGCAAGTTCCTACAGTATCGGCCTTGCACCGTAGTTGCCGAAGAATGGAGTCATGGACTGAGACTGATCGCCCAAAACGTGTTCTTAGGCTACCAAGGCAATATCTGTTGTATAAAATATCATTCAGAGGTCAAGGTCAAGGTCAGGTCAGGTCAGGTCAGGTCACCAAAAACAAAATATAGAAAAGGGCATGTGCGACACATGTTTTATGGGTCATTTTACTCATAGAATTCAATAGGCACACTCAATAAGTGATATGGACCACCTCTGGGTGAATTTCAGGTCGAGGTCAGGTCAAGGTCAGGTCAAGTGAGGTCAAATTTTGAAGTTGGTTGTTAAGGCCTTAAAAGGTGTCTATCTGATGCAGTTTTTCACGGCGAATCGAATGGTGCTATTTTTGTTTCCGTACGAGGTCTAGAACTTCCAAAAAAGTCATTTTTAAAAATTTTTGTGTCGTAACGTCATACAATTTTGAATAACTCCCACATTTTTGAACCGATTCTTCTAAAACTTGGTATGTAGGTGCACATAGACCACTTCTCTGACATATATTCCGGTTTTTTATACACTCAAAATTTTGGATTGTATAGCTATTTTCCCAAAAAAAGTCAGTTTTTTGAAAAAATTGGGCCAAAATCCAAAATTTTCAAAAAACCGAGATGGCCATTTGATAGACAAAGTAGAATTACGTATATCCTTTTTTGTTACGTCTTGATTCCTTGAAAAATGAAGACGTTAGCGGCGTTTGAACTTTTGACGTTTTTGAGGCGAAAATGGCGAACATAACGTCACTAAAACGTCAATTTCTCAAAAAAATTCCGGTGGATTTCGATCAAATTTTCAGGGAACGTGTCAAATTAATGTAAGAAAAGGTACTAAAAGTTTGGCGGCGCTGCGCGCCGCCGGTTTTGAGATATTGCAAAAATTCGCGAGGGGGGGGGGGGTAAAATTTACCCCCCCAGCCCCGCGCGGGTTAACGCGCGTAATTGCACGCTTTCGGCATTACCCCAGCCAGCCATACTTTCATTTGCAGGCCCGTAACTTTTCAACATGCCGTATGAATTTCAAATAGGCGGCACACTTATGCAAAGACATGCTGAAGATTACTTGACCGAATTGGCCAGACAAACGGTAGCATAATGAGTAGGAAATGCAGCTTCGAAGACGCATGTAGTTCAAAGGAAACGTACCTTGAAAACTCTCTTGGCGCCCTCACAGCCGAAGTATTCCGAATGACGACTGGTAACAAACATGCGATAATTGGTAGTCACTTAAGCTTCAGAGCATCACTGACAGGTGGCATCCCTGTCGTACGGTTTTCGAAATATCTCGAATTTCGGCTTTGCCCCAACTTCGGCATTGCCCCAACTTCCCCTACTTATTTGTCCCACTGTTCCGGCCATTTACCACCAGGCCAAGCGCCGCGTCTCTTAGACGTCCAATTTCAACTCACCTCAACTCTTTCTGTTTGATTCCGTCTACATCATCATGTCGTGCTCAGCACTGTCCGGTACCACTCCATCCCATACTGTGCTGGCCATGGTACAGCATGACACAGTTCGGCACGGCACAGAACGGCTCAGAAAGATACGACTCAGCGCGGCACGGTACGACTCTATACGACACAGCAGAGCACGGCAAGGCACGGTAGGCACAGCACGGCTTAGTACGACACGTCTCACCATGGAACGGCACGACGGGGCTCAGCATGACACGGCCCAGCGCGGCACGATCCTGCTCATCCAGCAGCGCCGGCCATAGACCGATTTTACTATTGACATCTGGTAACAGTGGCGCCACAAATCCAGCCGCACTCGCAAAATGTGGACCGCATGAAACTATAAAACAGAGCCACTTGTAAAAATGAAGTCCTTATGTATACGCTGGAGAGGCGCCCTCGAACATAGGCAACCGTCCTTACACTGAAACTTGAGTCATAAAACAAGACAGAAAATGCGTCATTTTTCATGGGAAATTAGTTTTACCTATATAACCCAGATAGCTGGATGGGAAATATAAAGCAAACGATTACAGCACTCGCTTAGTTCTCCAAAAAATGTTACATTTTTATGCATACCGATGTGTTCAGGGTAGGGAAAAGTATGACACCAACAATATTTGTTGCAACATGCCATAAAGTAAAACTTTATGGCATTTTGCATGACAAAGAGTACAAGCCAATGACCTACCTCGGCCGGACAGTCATCCATAAAACGGCGATCCAAGTCACTTGCCATCAAATTTACATTACATTACATTCTCCGTTATCGAAGGTCACCGTACTGTAGGTAATTATCAATGCAGACCAGAGTTGGATAACATGATACTATGATCGTCCCGTTGCCACCCCATGATTTATGAATAGGAACCTGAAGAAGCGTATCATGACAGCTTCGTCAAGGGAAACTTAAAACGACTGTTTTCATTTGCAACCCACTTTTGATATCGCAAAAGCGAGGCTGGCCGAATACCAATACCTACTCGGGCATTGGCAAAGGGTGCACACTGCACGCAATATTCCACGTGACGGAAGTAGTTATCCAGTGCTCAGCGAGCGCTAGTTCCATTCTGAATGTGATTCAATGGGAACGATGATTCAATCAAGAGCTTTTGTTACCTTCTATGGAGTCTCGCGGCAGTGAGCTTATTCAAACACCCATTAATCCAATAACACGACGTGGTTCATATCTGGCGATAGCAGTATGCAGCGTAAAGCTGGGGAACCTACGATTTCCAAACGTCCCAACTCCCAGCAGATCTGGAGCAGACCAGACTAGACCCAGGCCCGGACCAAGCCAAACCAGGACCACTCACACCAACTGGCGGGGGAGCTGGACCGGACTGAGACGGAGGAATAGCATTAGGCAATGCCGGTGCACCTAACCTTTGCGTGACCCGCCCTGGAGTCCGTACGACTGAGAGATTGATCAGCATTGATCGGCCGTGAATCCAGTGTCAATGCCACTCATCGGTGTCTGTTGACCCTCGGGAACGATCAGAGTTCACTGGATACAGCTGGCTGGAGCAGCAAAGCCGCTGAAGCAGCAGCGAATGACTAAAACCATTTTAACGCACCTGTGAGGGTTTTACTGTCAGCTGGCACGCTCTCTGTCCGCGAGTCCGAACAGTGAGCCGGCGGACACTGCGGGCAGTAGTGGACAGCCGAGGACAGCATCACCCTCCCCCATCCGAGCATCCCACGGTACCTGGTCCTGGCAGTACTGGTCGACGCAGGCGCCGGCGGAGACGGCTCGCAGCAGCTCATCGGTGGCGGTGGCGGCCACCTGGTCATCGGTGGCGCCGCGGCCGCCCAGCGCCGAGCCGCCCAGCCGACAGCCCGTGTCCGTCTCGGCCACCAGGTTCAGGCCAGAGGCCGGGCCGGCGCCCTCCGGGTCCCGCACGGCCTCCACCCGCACCGGCACGGAGGGCAGCGCGGCCTGCAGCCGGCGCCGCGCCGCCGCCGCCACGCTATCCGCCACCTGCCGGACCACAGGGGAACTAGAGGTTAGCGATACGGCCGCGGGACGGCACACACTGGCCGCTACAAGTGCACAGACCACCGGCACTAAGCACATCCGCCGCGGGCTGTCTGATGTGCCCAAAAGACAGATCGCGTCATCAACACTGGCCCCATATGAGCCCCCGAGCGCTGGCACCTCCCGACATAATTAATTTACCCGTCCCATGACTGCCGGCAGGTGATGATAACACTGTTGCGTCATCCGGCTAACGGTGACTAACAGAATCTCTAATTTATTGATAGCCTGTCCTTTGCAAGGACGGTAAACTAATTATCGTATCGCTACTATTAGTAATATTGAGCGCTACCAGGTTTTATACTCTCATCATGTGATGAACCGTGAAACTGCGGACAACAAAACTGCGAGCAGGTAATATTAGAGATGCGGTGGAAATTTCAGACGGCTCCGGATAAAAAAATCGGCTCCGGCTCCGGGTGAAATGCCATGGCGGCTCCGGCTCCGAGTAAAATGGTCCGGCTCCGGCGGCTCCGGCTCCAGTACTCAGTACATCCCCTATGCAATTAAATACGGGTGGAAGAAACAAGACGATGGGATTGGTACACGTTGCTTCTGTATCTGCATAACAAGGCTATTTTTGTTTTTAGGGCCTAAGCTATTTTCATATTTTGAATACCACATGTTTTACTGCCTTCAGTCAAACCGAACTAGGCCAATAAATTTTTCCTCTTGAAAAAAAGAGCCGGAGTCGGCCTTTTTTGACGGCTCCGGCTCCGGCTCCGGGCAAAATATGCCGGCTCCGGCGGCTCCGGCTCCGGCTCCGCACCCCTGGATAATAAACGGTTTCTGCACTGAAACTGCACAGATTTCCCGGATTCGGCTGAGAAGAAACTAAGAAAGCGAGGAGGTATTTAAGAATGGGAGCTCAGGAGTGCTTAGTATAGAGAACATGTGTCACCCTTACGGAAAAAAAACATGAAAACTCAACGTCAAGGTCTTTTACAAGCGACAGGAGTAATTCAAAAATGTCCTCCCATTTAACGCGAGTCGCAATACACTCGCCAATATAACACCCCATGCCTCGGACCAATGCTGGCCCACCCTCACACACCGGTGCCGCTGTCACCACCTACCCTCAGCGGCAGCTTTCCGGCGACAAACGCTGCACCGGTGACGCCAACCAGCCGTCCCTGATCCAGCAGCTCGAGGGGGCGCAGCTGGGTGACGGGGCTGACCGAGGCCTCGACCAGGCCGCCGCCGCGCGGAAAATAGCCCCTGCGACGTCAATAACACGTCAGTCAGCTGGGGGGTGGTCAACGAACATAGGTATCTGCCAGCAAAGCGCACAGTGGAATTCAGTCGCTTCTAGGTAAGGTTCACGAGTGAGCTATCAACTGTCTAATGACTTCAGGTTAGGATTAAGATTTTGTCCAGTCAGGATATCTAATGAACAATTTTCTTCAATCAAACATTATTGGTTATTTTTGCACATGGCACAGATAACAGTAGTACTACTGTTATCTGTGCACAAGGCTACAACACCCACTAGCCACTTAACCTACGCTAAATTACGCTGCTAGTGAAGAACATTTAATAACGATAACGAAATCACTATTCCTCCCCCAAGACGTTTACCGATGTCATTCATTTCAGCATCCACAGCTGGCCAACGAACACCAACATCGGCTCAACATCCCTCCCCAGATAACATCCAATGGCCAATGGTCATATGTCTGACATCACACGCCTGTGTCTGACGTCACACACACCTGCGCCTCACGTCACACTGCAGATTGCCGCCGAAGCGCTCCAGCAGTGGACGGAACACATTCAGCGTGTAGTCGATCTGTGGCGCAAAGGCGGCGTTCGTGCCGCCGCGCAGCGTCAGACGCGTCGGCGCTGAGGCGAACATGGCGCACGGCAGACTGACCTGCAGCAGGAGGCCGACACTCCTGCCGGAGAAGGTGGCGGGGAGGCGTGAAAACGGGGAGGTGAAGACAGGACAGGCAGAGTAGCTTGGGATGAGGACATGTTCTAGACGCAACCGGCTCACCAAAGCCTCTCCATCAAAGTTCCTTATTATAAAAAAGACCATCCTTTCGACATCACTTCAAATGCAAAATAGCAGGTTTGGCAACTCAGCTTTGTCTCAGTTGGACATGAAGGCGCCATTAAGGCGACTTGGTCAGGACATTAATGAAATCACAAAAACTGACAAAAGTAGCCTATCTATTATATAGACCATCATTTATTATTATTGGACTGGTTATACTACTTCCGGCATCAAATGTGCTTGGGCACCGAGGGACCAGAGGGGGTGATGACAGGCATTAAAGGCATACGCGGCGGTGCCCATCTCGGCCGTCTAAGTACGTACCCAGCGGTGCCTGTCTCGGCCGAGTAGCTGCCCCCCGTGACCCGGCCCGGGCGGAACGTGATCTCCGTCGAGTCGATGGCATCTCCAGTCAGCCGACCGGAGCACATTTCCGACACCAGCCGCAAACCTGGCGGTCACCGCAGCAGAGTTACTGAGGGACATTTCATGTGGAGCAGCAAACTGTCATTCATCAGTTGTAGGAGTCAGGACATCTCAGAGACAATACGTGGTCTAAAGACTTGACAGCCACACATAGTTAATTATATTTATTCTTTTATAAATTCAGTTTCATTGTTTTCAATGGACTACTTACTAAGCCAGCAAACGTTTAGCAAGCCCAAATAGTTGACAGCCACAAGATCTCGCCCACATAATGACATCAAATGAAGTGGTAGCTACTCGCTTCCACATCCATCCCAGTATTCGCACACCACACATCTTACCATCGTTATCGAGTTTGACGTATCGTCAAACTCGGGTGCTAACCAGTAATTACCAGTACCCAGGTCCCCGGAGGGACCAGACAAGCTACAGGACGAACTAAATCTGATCAGTCACAGGTTTGAGCTGCCATTATCCGACAGACCGGGATACAGAAGGTTCACTGGAAGCTAACACTCACCTGCCAAATGTTGACCCTTCAGTCCTGGCTTCGATCTGCCTCCCCTGATGTTGGTGATCTTGATGGGCTTCTCTAGCAGACAGCTCAAAGACACTGCCATCCGCAGCACCTGCCCACCCTGCAAACAACCACAAACACCAATGATCAGCCAGGTGTGAGGTAAAGTGCTGTTTTTGATATTTCTACCCCCAGCGGTATGACTCCAAATCAGTCCAAACCCCTAAAAACCGTTGCAGACGAGCACATATTCCGAAACTACTGGACCGATTACCATGAAACCGTCACCATTCGACGTGCCGTATTCTAAAGCGGTGCCGAAATGATACTTTTCAATTGGTCCACACTATGTGGTCACAATCGGTTCAAAGCCCCTGAAAACCGCTGCATACGAGCCCATGCTCCGAAACTATTGGACTGATTTCAATGAAACCTTCACCCACTTCACCATTCAACAGGCCGTGTTCTGGAACGTTGCCATTCTCATACTTTTTCGATTGGTCCACCCTAAGTGGTCCAAATCGGTCCGAAACCCATAAAACCGTTGCTGACGAGTCCATGCTCCGATACTAGGTACTGGACCAATTTCGATGAAACCTTCGCCATTAGACGCGCCGTGTTCTGAAACGGTGCCGTTATGTTATAATTTTCGATTGGTCCACCCTAATTGGTCCAAACCGGCCCAAAACCTCTAAAACTGTTGAAACTTAGTGCGAGTCGGATAGATTGCTGCAGCACGGACGTCAAATGGTGGAGGTTTCATTGAAATCGGTCCAGTAGCTTCGGAGCATGGGCTCGTCTGCAATGGTTGCTAGGGGTTTTAAACCCATTTGGACCACTTCAGGCGGACCAATCGTAAAATATCAAAAACAGCACCGTTTCAGAATACGGAAAACGAATGGTGAATGTTCCATCAAAATCAGTCCAGTCGTTTCGGAGAATGGGCTCGTCTGCTTTCAGGGGGCTTGTGGACCAATTTGGTACGATTGGTCCACTCAGAGTGATACAATCACCAAAATATAAAAAACGGCATTTGTCCTAGTTCCCTGCTATCAAATGGTGAAGGAGTTACCTATCTAATTTCGCCCAGTAGTTTCAGAGCATGGTCTCATCTGCTAATCTCATCACCGCCGGCCCCATTTCCATATGCACATGAGCAGGATTGAGGAGAGGAGGCAGCATCCCAGAGGACAGCTGGGCCAATTGTGCTGAAATTTGATACCACACAGCCCAGATGGGGTATCACTTCTCACTTGCACATCAGGACTTGCATTTCTGCTAACTTGTTGGTCACTTATTGCCCTGCATTCTGCAAGGCTTCTTACTAATATGGTACAAAGAAGGTGTTTCAAGCGCAATGATTGCTGATTTTACTGTATTTATAAGGAAACACATAACATGAGAAACTTACCCCTTCCATGATTGAGCCATCAATCACTTTCATGTCCTCCATGTTTTTACAGGCTTCTTTAAATTCTGAAATAATGAAAATGATCAGTAGATCTTACTGTAGGGGAGAGTGGGGTCACATGTAACAAGGGACAATTGTACTCGTAACAGTGTTTGTAATTCATAAACCTGCCAATTGAATGAGCTTAGTAAATTTCTATGCCATTATATTTGATAAGCTCATTCCTGCAGGCTGTGTGATAGTTTATCTTACAGCAGTAGTTTAGCGGTCTTTATCTTATAGCAGTAGTTATATAGCAGTAGCAGTAGTTGTGGCAGTAGTTTGTATAGTTATAGCAGTAGTTGTGGTGCTGCAGTAGCAGCACCACAACCACAGCCTCATCAACCACAGCAGCAACAGGACTATCGCACCATGATACGTGAGGAGCTCAAGGAGCAGAAAGAGCGTGAAAAGCGACGATCCTTTCTCATTGTCAGGGGTCTTCCTGCTAACTCAGCCTCAGAATTTATCAGGAAGTTTGCTCAGCTCACTGATGACTGCATGGGAATGAGGGTTGAGCCATCTGAAGCCTTTGCTATAACTGGTCACTCAAACTTCTATCGCATCAGGGTACCAGATGATGACCAACGGAAAGAGATCCTGGAGAAGGCAAAGCAACTAAAAGGCTCTCGATATGACAAAGTTTTTGTCAACAGGGACCTGACTTATTCACAGAGAACCGAGCTCTACCATCGTCGCCAGGCCCGCCGGCAGCAGGAGCCTGGGTTGAGAGCTGGGGACCAGAGACCTGTGGATGTTCTTAATGATGCTCCACGTCAACAGGCTGCTCTCCCACAAGCTGCCGCTGGTGCCCCTGCCCCTGCCCCAGCTAACGCGTCTACCCAAGCGGGTTCGGGAAACTAGCTCCCAGCCTGCAGACTGCCTCAGTGATCCGGATTGCTCAAGTCAATGTTAATGGTTTGCCATCCAAGATGAATCAGCTTAACAACTTTGCCAAACTCCATGACCTTGATATTGTATGTATAACTGAGTCACATCTTCTTAACCACACAAAGGATTCATTTGTACAGATGCCTGGATATTCACTTATTCGGAATGATGTTGCTGGTACTGTCTACAAGCATGGTGTTTGTGTATATGTGAGAGAAAATGTTGTTACAAATGGTGTCACAACTCCTGTCCCAAATGTGCTAACTTTCTGCTTGACTATCTACAACACTTATGTAGTAGTTGTTTACAGACCGCCTTCAAACTTGGAAGCTGAGAATACCATGCTGATGTCTTTCCTTTCAGACTTCTGCACTGACAGAGAGGTGATTGTTTTGGGAGACTTCAATCTGCCAAACATTGACTGGGATGCTCCAAATGGGTTTCAGAACTGTTCAATGCTCGAGAGAGATTTCTGCAATCTATTCAGCCTTGCCGGTCTTACTCAATGGGTCACCCAACCAACCTACCCCAGATCAGGAAACATCCTTGATTTGGTACTGACTTCTGAGACAGACCGCCTTGGACTGTTGGAGGTTTGTCCCCCACTCCCAGGTTGCGATCATTGCCCAACTCTTTTTGATTATATATTTGAGATGCAAAGTACAAATGTGCCCTCAGGTCCCCCACAGATGAGCAGGAGAGCCTGGAGCAGAGGTCGTTATGAACTGATGTGCCAGAGACTAAGGACTATTGACTGGGATTTTGAATTAGCACATCGTGATTGCAATGATTCCTTCAACCACTTTACTAAGCTTATCTGTGATTTGACAGACGAGTTTGTACCTGAACAGACATCAAACAGAGGTAAACCATCCTGGCAAAAGAGACCCCCTACTAGTCTAATGCACCGTCGGCGCAGGGCATGGCAGACCTACAAATTAGTAAGGGAACGTAAAGGGAGAAAAGCTCATGAGTCTCGCATGGCCTATCAAGAGTTTGCTTCTGTCAATAAGGAGTTAAAAGGGTTTGCTGTGAGATCCCAGAGTCTGTATGAAGCTAGCCTAATGGAGAGGTCCGCTGAAAACCCTAAACTCCTGCACTCCTACATCAGATCCAAGAAGGTGGGATGCCCATCTGTTGGCCCCCTGCTTCTCCAATCTGGGGAAGTGAGTGATGACGCCCAGGCTATGACTGAAGTGTTTGCCACCTCTTTTGCATCGGTGTATTCGACTAACTCACCAACCAACCCTGCCCCTCACCAGGAGTTTGACGGGTCACTTCAAAATGTTGACCTGACGACCGAAGACATTTGCTCTGCGCTGATGGCCCTTGACCCACACTCAGCCATGGGCCCTGACAGACTGAATCCCTTGGTACTTAGGCGTTGTGCTGCAGAACTGGCTCGTCCCTTACTCATGATTTTTTCCAGATCTCTCCAGGAAGGCCAACTGCCTGTCCTATGGAAGCTGTCCCATGTTATACCGATATTCAAAAAAGGCCGACGATATGATCCACTTAATTACAGGCCCATCAGTTTAACTTCTGTGGTGTGCAAGAGCATGGAACGAATTATTTGTGCCAAACTTCGTGACTACTTGGAATCAAATGACTTACTGACACCAAATCAGTTTGGTTTCAGGGCAGGCAGGTCAACTATGGATCAGCTGTTACTTGTGTATAACGCCGTTTCGAGAGCAGCTGACATGGGTGGAGTCACAGATGTAATATTCTTCGATTTCAGCAAGGCGTTTGATGTGGTCTGTCACGATTTGATGATTGCTAAGCTGAGGTCTCTGGGTATCCATGGCCGTTTGCTTGATTGGCTTTCCTCATTCCTATATGGCAGGGAGATGCAGGTTTGTGTTAAGGACTGTAGGAGCCGGCCAAGGAATGTCCTTAGTGGTGTCCCACAGGGTAGTGTCCTTGGACCACTTCTGTTCCTAGTATATGTGAACAGCATAGCCTCACAGTTAACAAGCAGTTATAAAATTTTCGCCGATGATCTTAAAATGTATGCCTGTGTGTCTCATGCTCCCGCTCTATCAACACTGTCTCATTATCAACATGTGCAGAAAGACATCGACCTCTTACACACCACAGCAGCATCATGGGGTCTTAGAATGAACTCAGATAAATGTGTCGTGCTAAGATTTGCCAACTCTAGATCAAAGCTAGTCTCTCCAGAGTACTTCCTTGGCGGCCAACAGATCCCTTCTGCTGAGAGCCATCTGGACTTGGGCGTTACCGTTGACTGCCAATTAAAGTTTCACGAGCACATCAGGGGTGTGGTTCGTAAGGCTAGTGGTTTGGCACATAATCTGTTAAAGTCGACTGTCTGCCGATCGCGTGAATTCATGTTGTTTCTATTGCTTACTCATATTCGTCCAATGCTTGAATATTGCTCTTGTGTCTGGTACACTGGCTACATAGAGGATATGCGACTCTTGGAGAGGGTTCAGCGACGTTGGACCAAGCGAATTGATGGGCTAGCCTCATTGAGCTACGCTGATCGCTTGCAGGAGCTGAACTTGTATTCGGTTCAGGGTCGACTGACACGCGCTGATCTCATTCAGTGTTGGAAAATCTTCAATAGGAAGTCTTGCATTGCTCCTGATGAACTGTTTAGCCTGTGTCCCCAAACTCGCACCAGAGGTCACTGTCACAAGATCTTTCCCTTGCACTCACGCACAGATGTTAGGAAGCGTTTTTTCACTGTGAGGTGTATGCGTCTTTGGAATGCCCTACCCGCAGAGGCGGTATGTGCCCCAAACCTATCTAGGTTCAAGGAGGTCCTGCATGACACTTTGCATGGGAGTTTGTTCGCCTATGTCTAACGTTACTTGAACAACTGTACAAAACTTTAGCGCGCTGCATATTCTGCCGGCCTCTCTGCACTGTATTCATTTTCTTTTTCTTTTTTTTTTCTCTGTGAAAAACCACAGTGTGTTTGTACATGCATACACGCCGGACTCAACGGAAGACGCTAAATTCCAGCTTTCTGCGCTCGCCAACCACAAGTGAAGATCTCCCCCGGCTGGCGCGTCTAGGATTCAGGGTTCCTGTCTGTCCTACTCTTTCCTTCCATCTACATTTCTTGACACTGGGAACCCAACCAGGTGAGTCAACCAGGTGAGTTTAGCGTCACACGACCATATTCATGTAACCTTGGTTTGCGCCGTTGTTCGTCGCCCTCGTGTGAGACGCTCTTTGTCTATATTGTCGATCTTGAACTGACTCAATGCACAGTTGTGGAATACAGCTTTCTGAAGTATAAAAAGCGTATCAAGCAAGTATTCAGCAAGAGCACGTCTACCACATGTGTTCTTTGATGCTCTTCAAACGACTCAGTCGAGGTCGGAGGCCTTCGCAGACCTCCAAGTGAAGATTGAAGGACTGCCTGGGTGTCACACTTTCCATGCAAAAGTGGACACTGGTGCAGATGGCAACATCCTACCAGTCAGGTGCCTCAAGAAGATGCCCTCAAGTGTGCACCTCCAAAATGACAAAACCAGGATCACAGCATACAACGGCACGGACATCAAACAACATGGTGTCTTGGAAGTTGAGTGCTTCTTCAACGGGAAAAGGTCAACACAAAAGTTCCATGTGGTTGACTGCGAGGGTCCCATCCTGGTTGGTCTGCCAGCATGTGAGAAGCTGGACCTCGTCCGCCTAAACCAGCAAGTGCACATGGTGAAATCAAAGGTCAGAGATGAAGTGCATGCTCATGAAATCATCACAGACACTCAGCAGCTCATCAAGGAGTACCCGGACCAGTTTCGAGGACTGGGCAAGTTTCCAGGAACAGCCTCAATCGAAGTTGACCCAACAATCAAGCCTGTGGTGCATCCTCCAAGGAAGTGCCCTATCCACCTGCGAGATGACTTAAAAAAGGAGCTAGATACCATGGAGAAGATGGGCGTCATCAAACCCATGCAAGAGCCCACTGACTGGGTATCCAGTCTGGTCATCACGAAGAAACCAGACGGGAAGCTGCGGGTCTGCCTTGACCCAAAGGACCTAAACAGGGCCATAAAGAGGCCACATCACAGGAACATCACAACTGAAGAAATCACCCATCAGCTGGCTGGGGCAACAACCTTCTCGAAGTTGGACGCCCGTGCAGGCTACTGGGCCATCCAGCTGGATGAGGAGTCAAGCAAGCTGACTACCTTCAACTCACCATTCGGCAGATACAGGTTCTGCAGGCTGCCGTTTGGCATCAGGCTCTCACAAGATCTCTTCCAGAGGAAAATGGATGAAATCCTCACAGAATTGGAAGGAGTCATCAACATCGCAGATGACATCTGTGTGTATGGCAAGGACGCAACCGAGCACACGGAACGGCTCCTCGCCCTCATGAAGCGCGCGCAAGAAAAAGGTCTAGTCTTCAATCCGGACAAGTGCGCCATCGGCCTGAGTCAAGTGTCCTTCTTCGGACATGTGTACAGTGCGAACGGTGTATCGCCCGACCCCGCAAAGGTGGAAGCGATCAAGAACATCGAGCGCCCCAAGAACGTGGCAGAGCTGCAGTCGTTCCTGGGTATGTGCACTTACCTGTCTCCGTTCATTCCAGGTTTCTCAGATCTGACACATCACCTGAGGCAGATGTTGAAGAACGCCATCGTCGAGTGGTCTCCAAAAGCCTGCAAGGACTTCCAGACACTAAAGGACATCATTTCCTCAGATGCAGTACTGGCATACTACGACCCGTCGAGACCGGTAACGCTTGAAGTTGATGCTTCCGGTGTGGCGCTGGGCGCAGTGCTGTTGCAGGATGGCCAGCCAGTCGCGTTCGGCTCGAAAGCACTAAGCGATACTGAGACGAGGTACGCCAACATCGAACGGGAGATGCTTGCAGTGGTGTTCGGGTGCGAAAAATTCAGAACATATCTGTTCGGACGCACATTCGAGGTCATATCTGATCACAAACCCCTAGAGATGATACTGCAGAAGAGCATAGCTCGCGCCCCCGCGCGCCTGCAGCGGATGCTTCTCCGCATCGAAAACTACACGTTTACCCTGAAGTACCGGAAGGGTGACACAATGTATGTGTCTGACGCGCTATCCAGACTTCCCACAGAACGACCAAGTCCGACGACTACTCTTCAGCTGGACGTCTGCATCGGCCTGGTGCAGTTCACCCCATCACGCCTGGAGGAGCTGCGAGAAGAAACCCGCCGAGACGAGACACTACACCAGCTGAAGAAGGTCATCCTGAGCGGGTGGCCAGCAAGACGCTGCGAAGCCCACCCAGCGGTCAAACCGTTCTGGTCGGTCCGAGACGCCCTGGTGATCGACGATGGACTGGTCATCAAGGGCACCGCCGTGGTCATCCCGGATCAGCTTCAGCAGTGGTACGTCGAAAGACTACATGAAGGACATCAAGGCCGTGTGAAGATGGAACTGCGAGCCAGAGACTCAATCTTCTGGCCAACGCTGAAGAAGGACGTGGAGGCGCGCGTCGCTGCCTGCCTGCCCTGCCAGGCATCACGTCCCGCTGCAAGTGCAAGCACAATCGAAGCTGAGCACCAGCACCCAGTTCCCCCCGGTCCCTGGACCGATGTCAGCACGGACCTGTTTTACAGCAATGGGAGGCACTTTATCATCATAGTGGACCACTACTCCAAGTTCCCATTCGTCTACGAGCTGACGAGCACGACCAGCACGCAAGTGATCAAGGTCATGATGCAGCTGTTCGCTGAACATGGATCACCGAGCACTGTGTACTCTGACAACGGCCCCCAGTACAGTTCGAAAGAGTTCAGGACATTCAGCGAGATGTTCGGGTTCAAACACGTGACATCGTCCCCGCATCACCCGCAGAGCAACGGCATCGCGGAGCGTCATGTGAAAACCGTGAAAAGCCTGCTGCAGAAGTGCGCTGGGAACTACACCAAGTTCCAGATCGGTCTCCGCACCCTGAGGGCCACTCCGATTGACAGCGTTCTCCCGTCACCCGCAGAGCTGCTGTTCGGTCGCAGAATCGATCAGCTTCCTCATCGACACATGGAGAGCCAGGAAACGACGAACCACCGAAACCGTCTGGAGTACCGCCAGCAACAGCAGCGCGACAGCCACAACGCACGCGTCGGGCAACGCCGCCCTGAGCCGATGCTGCTTCCTGGTGACGCGGTATTCATCAGAAACAAGGCGACGAGCACGTGGGAACAGGGAACCATCAAAGCGGAACACGAGGCACCATCGTCCTACATGGTTCAGCGCGGGTCCCGCCCGCTATCCAGAGCGAGCAGCACGTCCTCGGTGGACACGGACGACGACGCCCCGCGGCCCGTGAGGCGGACCGCCCAGGACATTCGTCCGGATCCTAGCGCTGCGCGTACCCGATCCGGCCGAGTGACGCGAGCGCCTATCCGTTTGGACTTGTGAGCGTTCGTGAGAAGGGGGATGTGATAGTTTATCTTACAGCAGTAGTTTAGCGGTCTTTATCTTATAGCAGTAGTTTAGCGTCACACGACCATATTCATGTAACCTTGGTTTGCGCCGTTGTTCGTCGCCCTCGTGTGAGACGCTCTTTGTCTATATTGTCGATCTTGAACTGACTCAATGCACAGTTGTGGAATACAGCTTTCTGAAGTATAAAAAGCGTATCAAGCAAGTATTCAGCAAGAGCACGTCTACCACAGGCTGCAATTGAAAAGATAACGACTTCAGTTCAGACTTTGTGTAAGCGTTGGCAGGCTTGTTGTCCGTAAATTGAAAGCATTAGATGCTGTCCATACATCTTTTGGTGCCAGTTTTGTAAAAAATGTCACTGCGCGACAGGGACGATTGTAACATTCTTGCAGGCAGCAGGGGTCAAATATAACAGGTTACAGGTCAAAGGCCACTAAGTTAAGGTCAACAAATTTTCAAGACAGGTGAAACATTGCTAGAATTAAGACAACTGCAAGTTTTGTCGCAATTGGCAGCTTTTTACTAAATTTATTTGCAAAAACCTGAGGGAGAATTGGTCCATTCAATCCCTGTATAACAAGGTTTAAAGTGTTTTTTTTCCTAAAAAGAACAGAACCTACCTACCATGTCTGAGGATATGAACATGTGTTACACTTCATCAAATCAAAGATTTTGAAAATATTGCATTTCCGTTCCATAGCCTGTAGGCTGTAAGTAACATGCTAACTTTGTCCCCGGGTGATGTTACTTTTGAACCCGTACCTTAACTGGGGTGAATTTGAATTGTAACAGCTGAAACCTGAACTGACTTTTTTGGACCTAAATTTTGACCTGAAAAAGGGACGACGGTGAAAACAGGGCGCCTGGGGCGATTTGATCAAGGTTCGTGAAAATCACACGTGACGTGTAGGATACAGAAGGCCCGTGGAGGGGGAGAACTTCCAAATATCACGTGACTAATATGCCCTCCGGCGCCCTGTTTTCACCGGCGTCCTGAAAAAGATGCTATTTTGGAAATATTTTTGGTGTACGTACAGGCGACAAAAATATTATTGTTTCTGAAAATAAAAGAAAGAACTTTATAACTGCAAATGTGTTTGCACCAGATCATAAGATGATAAAATCATAAAAATGATGAGATGATAAAATGCAAAAAAAAATGTTACAATTGACCCCTATCTCCCCTAATAAATATGGCCCTTATTGAATTTGGCCTCTCCAATGTCTTCCAGGATATCCAGCCATATTACAGCATAAATTGAAATTGCCATAACCACCAATACACAAACCACAATTGCTCAACAACAATCAACTTGAACTCAACAAAAATAAATCCATCCAAATTCATTTTTTTTTCTTACTGCAGCCTTTGTATCAGCCGACCCCCACCGGACACGATTTGGTAGCCGAGGTCTGTGACGTCAGCCGGGCGTGAAGTTTTCCCTTCACCATAGGCTTCACACACAAACCGGCCGAAGTTCATGCCAGGATAGCCCGGCTTGAAAGTGCAAAAATGATTAAATTTTGCCCTCAATAGATTCATTGCTTCATTTTATAACTAAAAACGTCCGTTATTAGGACTCAATGAAGGTAAAAAGTACTCAAAATCGAAGTTCAAGAAGATGCTGTCCGAGCACAATCTGGTAACATCACGTGACCTCTTTTAAGCAAAATGTATATAATTCAAGGATGTTATTACACGATTGCTGCCTAAAACATCATAAATAATACGCTTGTAACATTTATTGCTTCTGTTTAAGTCATAACATTGCAAAACGCAATGTTTATCATGGAAGTCACGTGACCAAAGGTATAGCAGGGGTTGGGACAAGCACTCAAAGGATTTCAAGTTTTTTAATTAAATTATATAAGTTTCATGATGAAATTGATAGAATGTATTTTTTCCGAATGAAATACAAGTTTTCGTATGTAAAATATTTTTCTTATGGGCGAAATTCTCCATATAAGAAATGTCAGTGACGTCACCAGGGCTTTACGTGGGCTTTACTCAAAACATCGGACCTACCTGTTTCTTATAGGTATCTTGGTATCAGCCGCGCGATTTCTGTCGCAGTGTTTCTGCTTTATTAAAGGGAGATAATGAGCTTTCTTTTTTCTTAAATAAAAATTACTCGACATCTATACTATTTCTACTGTAGTTTCTATAAAATATGAAAATTTCCTAGCACATTTTCGTATGTGAAAAAGGTTTTTATTTTTGCAAAAAAGAAGCAGTACTTGCAGTACTTGTAACACCCACCGAAATGCGTTGTCCTTCTCTATAAAAAAGTCGCAGTATATGGCGCTTTTGTTTCAAACAGCGACGCTTGGGTTTTTGTTTATGTTATCGCCTTGTCGTTGCTTGGTTGTAAGGATTCTAATTTGAATTAGAGTTAATTCGGTTTAGAATTAATTAGTTTCTACAGAGCTGGGCATTGCGCAACTTAAGTCCGCAACTCCGCAACTCCGCAACTTGCGGACTACCCTCTTGGTAGCGGAGTTACGGATCGGCTACCGAGCCCAAAAAAGTTGCGGAGTTGCGAGTTGCGGAAGCGAAAAATTCTAAAGCGCAACCGCTACCGGGGCCGCCACCGCTGACGGGGGCGAGAGAGAGAGAGAGAGAGAGAGAGAGAGAGAGAGAGAGAGAGAGAGAGAGAGAGAGAGAAAGAGAGAGAGAGAGAGAGAGAGAGAGAGAGAGAGAGAGAGAGAGAGAGAGAGAGAGAGAGAGAGAGAGAGAGAGAGAGAGAGAGAGAGAGAGAGAGAGAAATCGCCACTTCAAAAGGTACTACCTATGAGACATATACCTTACACTGCACTTCAGAACTAACCCTCGTACGGCGTTTGCCAGCGTCTAACGTGTAGGGGGGGGGGGGAGGGTCGGTTGGACCCCACCCCCTGCCGTTCGGCCCCTGATCGAGCTAGAGCTTCGTGGAAAAAAAAACGAGCGTGTTGCCCGTTACGAGAGGAACCCGATGATACCCAATTTTAAGGTCCTAGGTCATTGGTTGACCTTCCAGGTCAGTTCAATGACCCAAAAGTCGGGAAAATAGAGACCTGCTAGAACTTCGCGAAGTGAAGCTGTTGTTTTTTTTCGGGGTGCTAATCACGTATTTCATATTAGTTTTGATCACCGATGATGTCTTCATGCATTTAGGCCAGGTCGGGTCAGGTCAGGTCAGGTCAGGTCAACCAGTAGGCGTCCTGCCGGCTATCTATAGTAGGTGTCAACTGTCAACTACCATGTGACGGCGCCGTAACATGTAACGAAGGCACTAAAACTACTTCGTTAATGTTCAAATGGATGCAAAACTCGAAATCAGCCTCAAAAACTACCCTAGAAACATGTAAAACTCGAAAAAGAGAACCAAGGTCATCAAAGTCAATGACCTTGACCTGACCTTCACGTGACATTGACACCCACCCCACCGTAAGGCATGGGACGAACATCATTTCACATGTTTGGACGTTTACAATCACAAAAGACTGGAAACGCGCGGATAATGTGAGCTGACATTCGCTGAATCGCGATTTCGGCCAAACATGGTCTCGAGAAATATCAAATAGGTCAAAGGTCATTTGGGTTAGGGTCATGAAATTTTCAGAGTAGGTGTAAAATTGATCAACTCGATGGTACTGAAAGTTTCGTCGCGGTCGTCCGCTTTTGCGCGAGTTATTCGCGAAAAACCGGGGGGGGGGGTCCATCAAACCTCCACGGCCTACACATGCGAGGGCTAAAACTGATAAAACGTAGTACGCAATAGAGGTGGGTAGCGGAGTTGCGGAGTTGCGAGTTGCGCTTTTACGATCTGCAAAATAGTTTCGGAGTTGCGATTGCGCTTTGGGTACCTCAGGTTGCGGAAGGTAGCGGTAGCGGTTTCCAAATTTCGGTAGCGATGCCCACCTCTGAGTTTCTAATTCGGGGGTACATAGTGCCTACTCTTCTTTAGCCCCGTTTACATAGGAGTTGCCAGATTCACATGCCAGCTCGATCTACTTTCAGGTGTTCGGCCTCCGCCATGTCGACAAATGCTGCGCAGCAAATACAAAATCCAGAAATGTGGTAATGGAGTTCTGGCCACCAAATAGAAAAAGCCTGCCAAGTTTATGATGCTCTGCATGTTATGTAGTTTTGATAATAAACGACGCATGGGCTTCAAATGAATTGTATGTTGTACATTTGGGCATCATATGAGTGGAATATTGCAAAGTTTTTACCCAACATTTAAGCATAAGACTAAGTTGTTTCAATAAAAGCGATGAAAATAAAGCTGATTGTTGAGTTCGATGCACTCCTTGCAGCTTATATTTAGCGGATTACATTTATTCTTATTCCACATTCATTTATAGAAAGATCAAATATGTAACACCCCTTTTCCCGCTTACCTTCAACCTCTGAGCAGTGACATTTTCTTGATCGATTCAAAAGGCATGGAAAACACGAAGCAGAAACTGAGTGCGTAAGATATTTGGTAACAAGTATCACATACGCTCTAAATGACTTTCTAAGCAGATTCGAGAGTCAGTAATTACCTATTTATTCACGTTGCGCTCATTCATCAAGTCAAACAAATACCTAAACCGATTGGTAGCGTCATCTAGGCGATCATAAGTGCCAAACTGCTAGTTGAAGACTTCTATTATAGATGGCACTGCTAGACAAGCCAGAGCAAGATTACTTTACTACTCAGGTTGGTTCACTAGGGAAATAAAGGCGCCGCAGCTACGTCACGGATTTGGTAGCAATCTGGTAGCAATTTTTGCAGACATCAATGGCGCACGTGTTGTTTGATCGTCGCCAATACTATTTTACTGCACTATTTTGTTATTTCACTGCAATGTATTGTACATTTAATTTGAAAATTATAATAAAGAAATATTCGTAACCCAGCAAGTCAGTTATTCTTTGAGGCAGCACTCTGTCAGCATTGAGCCTTCAGAATGTGTTATTTGATAGACTTTCCCACATTTTCTACTCTTGTGGAAAACTTTCTTAGTCATCAAAAATGTATGCACATATGAATAATTAGAACTTAATTTTCAAAGTTTTATAGAAATAAGATTTCACATTACATTATCATAAGGCTACCTGTCCATTTCGTCAAACCAATAAAATATTCATCCAGCAGAAGGCAGGTACCTCTGAGAAGGTACTGATATCTCTTATCTACACCAATATTCCAGGAAAATGACAGAGACTGAGAAGCTATTAAAACTTAAGCGTATGAAAGGGATGTTATGGCTTATGCACATTGGAAAACATCAGATAATGCTTTTGAACCATCTCATTCACCAGCACACATCAATCCGGCTCCTGGCTTCTGTCAAGGAAACATTCCAAAATAATGCATTATTTTATTTCATTGACCACCTTGCAAAAGACAAACAGCAAACACATCACCACCAAAAACAAAAAATAGTCAACAGGTAGGTACCAGCTGATCTAGCCGTGCTGTGTCATGTGCCTTTGAAAAACTTGAGCAGTCAGGGTTGAATAAACACCCCAAACTTAGCCATCATGCATGAACAAGTGCAAATTCTGGTCGAGCATTTTAATAAAAATGAAACTAACAGCATTGTAGGTTACAATTTTAAAATAAAAGACAATTACAAAGAAACAGCAGAGCTTACTCTACAAGGCATAACCATTAATTTTATAACTGACATCCAAATTCGCATCTCCGAAGTTCAACCCACCAACCAGCCACCTGCACATTTCTGCGCACATGTGCTGCGCAGTGTGCACAGTCACTACACATTACACAATTATGAGAATTAAAATAGTTTTAAACAATCAAGCAAGTCAGGACTGGTATGCAGATTCACAAGTTTTCTCAACATCTTCAATTACCAACAATCAAGAGCACCTTGTGATCTCAGTAACTCCGCAGATCCATCTTCTGTTTTCCATTTTCAGTTTTCAATTGAAATATAAGTTCCATCTGGGAGACACATGTTGCATCATTATGTTTAAACAATTATTATGCTTGAACTTTTGATTTTTCATGTGAACTTCACTTCAAAAGTTGATTCAATTTTTTTAAAATGATAAAATTTGTATAATGCTACAATCACGGCGCACCAAATCACAGATAACTTGAAAATAACCAAGCAAAAGCCACATTCTTCAGCAAACTATGAGAGCTATCTGATCCATGCTGCGTTGAAATAATTGAAAATCGCCAAAATCAGTCAAAATATGACAATTAAATTAATAAAAACTTCACAAAACTCTGATTTGTGAGGCGATGCGCAACAGAAATGCGAGGGAATATGGTAGTAATCTTATGTTATGTTATAAATTATGAAGGATTTCCCCTGTCGCTGGTGAAAAAACACTCGTAACAAATTTTTCAACGCAGAGGAAATCCTTCATTATGAGTTGCAGGGACCATTTGATTGGCCCATTTTAGATAAATATAGGCCGAATGTTTCGATTTCAACCCCATTTATCGTAATGAGACGAATCCATTGGCTTAATGGTACGTCTTTTGAACACATGTAGGCCTTAGATTTCTCCTTAGCCCGCCTGAAACACACCATGCTTTGCATGCATTTCTATGGGTGAAGGAAAATTCATGCGCCGTGATGACGTCACGGTAAAGGAATTCTGAAGCTCGTGAACGGGGGCTGAGCCAGAGCGTAAGCCAGAGGATTTTACCACCGCCGTGAAAAATTCCTAACCAAAGGTGCACTCCGGTCCCCTCAACATAAAACTCTCGATATTTCTGTGACCAATCAGAGTAAGCCTTGCTCGGCGCTGATTTGCTAATCAGAAAATGACGTCATTAAGGAGCCACGGCGTTCAAGCTATTTTGTGGCGGCTCTGGTGATCCACTTAGAAGTCATATTTTGATGTTTTTAGGAAAGTCTGATGAATGCTTTTATATTTTCAGAAAAGAACCCTTAATGTTGTTGTTGATAAACCCAACTTCGCTATTTTTGCCAATAGTAATAAGACAGGAAATCATCTGTTGGTGGGTCTTCACGCTAAATCTACCACCCCCAACTACGTCATCATCGTTCCTAAGCATGCTGTACTTGGTCATAACTTCGTTGCCCAGCACTAGTTTGACCTTGATTTCCGCCAATCAGAGTGCAGAGCTGTCTGCCGAGAGACAGCAGTACTCGATATTAGTGGTGGGCCAAATACTTGTTTTCTAAGATGTTTTTCTTTAGAGCCTTTTATATCTTAGTTTCGTTTATATTACATATCGCTTTATATTTTATTTTTGTAAAGAATATCTGCATAAATTGTGATTTACATAGCTTGATTTAGCTAATATGGCAAAGTGTTTACGAAGGGGTGCAGGGAGATATGGCAGCAGATATGGTGCTTGCAAATAGTCTTTGTACGCATGAAATAGTACCCTTTTTTCAAGCCGAAAATAACCTATCTATTGCAATTTATTGATGTATTATGCCTGAATTCCGAGAAAGTGCTCTTCGTAGCATTGAATACAGTCACTTGTGTAGTTGCAAAAGGTCACTGGCCAGTTTTGTGATATCTCTAAGCCAGCTAGGGAAATTTCTAAATGCTATGTAAACAGGGTTTTTGTTTCCAAGCGCCACAAATGAACGGCATGCGCCAGAAACGCAGCCAAATCTTGCGATTGCGACTACGAAATTCATTATTTTGGCCTCAGAGCCTGAAGCGAAAAATACAAGCATATTTATTTCAAAAAGACTTCAGGTTTGTCGAACGGTGTTATGAGAATTTTGATAACAGTACTGCATAAGTTTTTCAGTGATGCCGCAAAAGTGTTGTATCTATCTTCTTTTATTGTGCAGTCGGCGGGACCGATTCAAAATTGAGTCGTTGCTACTAAAATAGCAGCATATGGCGACAGATGATGAACAGGAAAAATAGTTGCGTAAATTTAGACATAAACCACCCCCAAACCATGAATATCTTTTGAAGGCACTATAGACGACCATTAACTAACTAGATGTGATGAAGATCAAATGTAATGAATACGCTCATTTTACAAAATTACATGCAAGTACCAAAAAGTGATGTAAGTACTTATTCAACGGTCATTTTCAGCGCTCCCCGCTAACGTGACTTCAAGTTGAGATATTTGCGGCAAGGTACCGAATTGAGCAAAATGGTTTTAATTTACATTATAACTTGTTGTGTTTTGTCAGAAAATGGTCCTAACTCAGATTTTGTGGAAAAAGGTCATAATCTCCCTTTAAAATATTGAATACTCCTTTCTGATTGTTTTGATGACGTCAAAAACCCAATTTTCTGCTGGGAGTAAAATAGAAGAAAAGTGAGTGATTCGCAATTTATTCGTCTCGTAAAGGTGATCAATTACCAAGTACGTTTGTGATAATATTTTCAGTCACATACATAAAAGTTGAGCTATCATAATTTTATCGACAAATTTCATATTCTCAAGACTTCTTTTCGCTTCTGGTGACGTAATTTTCAAATGTTTGTTGCAATCGGCCTTGGAAATATCTCACTTGAGAAGTCTATGGTGTGTCTCTTGTTATAACCAAGGCTAGGTTATATCTTTATTTTTTTTTATAATATGTAGTATTTTGGTATACCCTCTATTCCTTTTATTGTTATTATCTGAATCACGGCAAGGCTAGATAGGCACAAGGCAGGTGTTAAGATATAATAAGCTAGGTGTTGTAAGTTTCAGTTTGGTCTTCGTCTGGTCTGTTCTGATTGTTTTTTAATACACCCAAGAGGGCTGCCCAACTGAATATATTTTTCAATGATTTGGTGAACCATCAGGAACCAAACTGACATTTGCAGCTATTTTAAGGCCTCATGAACTGTAAGCATTGGGGGTATTAGTAGAGCAGACGTCACTCGAAGGTTTTTCAACCAAGGAGAGGCGCTATGACTGGAGGTACAGCCCACCGCTTAAGTAATGTAGGGTTTTACCAATATCAACGGTTGGCTTTGACTGGCGATTGTTAAATGCGGAGTGATCGAAAAGAAGATGTCAATAGCTAAAGTTGCAGCTGCACGGGTGACGATACATATAAGCTACATTCAAAGTTTCATTGTTGTCTGGCTAATCGTTCCTAAGCTTCAGAAGCAGAACATACCCATGACTGAAACCCCACATTACTTCTGCTGTGGACTGTACTTCTTTCTAACAAAACCTAAACAAACCTAACCTAACATGACCTAACCTAACCTACAACCTACAAACCTAAAAACCTACAACCTACAAACCTACCCTACAACCTACAAACCTACAGCGCCTCTCCTTGGTTGGAAAACCTTTGTGTGATGTCTGGTCTACTAATACCGCATTGGGTGTCATCAACATACCTAAAACACTGTAATTTGTGATAATTAGTTCATCATTCCCATATGCATTATCTAATCTGCCATGGATGCTGACAGCTGAATGCACCCATTCTTACTTATCCATAGGAAGACTTTGATGGTTATAAGGCTGATGCCATTGGCAGCCACCTGTACTTCATCATTCTATTTGTTCCCAGCAGTGCAGGACCATTGATGGCTGCAGTCTGGGGCTCAGCGGTCTGCCGGCTGGGCAGAACTGTGCTGCAGAGGGCGCCGCCGGTCACCCGGCCCCTTGCAGCTGTTGATGGCCACTTCCAGGTGCGCTGTGTCGCCTCTGGTCGAGATCGGCGCTCTGGTGGTGGGCGGGACAGTGGGTCCAGACGGCGGGCCTCCCTGAGCGCCGCCGGCGGCGGACTGGCCGCGCTGCTGGTCGGCCTCTCGGAGCGGTCCGGCGAGCGGTCGGATCCGGCGCCGCCGGGCCCGCTGCGCCGGCTGCTGGCCGCCCTCCTGCCGTCTGTCTCCGCCGCCAAGGGACTGGGCACGGACCCGAACGACACGGCCGGGAAGGGCGGCGCCCCGGCTTCCTCCCGGCGCCAACAGTACAGCTTCATCGCTGACGTGGTGGACAAGACGGCGCCGGCGCTCGTCTACATCGAGATCAAGGATATGCGACGGTGAGAACCATACCAGACCAGACAGTTGCTGGTAGATGGGAGCAGTGAGCTGTACTTGAATCGGCGTGATTGAGCGAGAGCACAGGCTGGTCACATCTCACGAAGTCCTTGGCCGTTATGTTATCACTTCGGTTTCACATCTGGGGTGTGGTCGAAACTTTTGCTAGCCATCAGTAGTGACAGTGTTCCACCCTCAGGAGAGGGATGTTTGGTGGTCCCGCCACCGCCTCCAACGGCTCCGGTTTCATCGTCAACTCGGACGGCCTCATCATGACGAACGCCCATGTCGTGGTCAACACGCCTCACAGTACCGTCCAGGTGAGAGGGTGGTTTCCGCTGTCGGCAAGAGCTGTCCGCACGGCTCCGACGGCGCAGCTCCCTCACGAGGTGCGGTGGCGCCATCTTACCCATTGCACAGACATTGCTACTTAATAACGTTTCCTTGTCAGCTTTGTGTTCTTGTTCATGCAATGCAACAGTTATGTTTCCTGTCGCGCTATTAATGCCGTATTGTTTCAGTGTATTGTGCTGTTCAATTATCACTATTTACCGGTGTTTTGTTCTTGCTAGGTGCGACTGCACGATGGCAGAACGTTCAAGGGCACCGTCGAGTCGGTGGATATCGGCTCAGACCTGGCCACCGTCCGGATCCCGGCGGTAAGTGCGAAGTGTCTCAGTGGAATATTCATACCCATAACCCACACGTTGTTTTGGTGCTTCAGATCTTTTTTTTTTATTGGTTGGTGTTTATATGCTGCATGCGTTGTTTCGCGTAGTCTTTGCTATGTCTGCAATGGTAGCATGAAACTACGTTGCTTCTACATTTGCGGATACTAAATAGTGGCGCAATACCTAGCATCATTGATGTGTTTTGTTTCGCCTCTCGTCCCACTCATGTATTGTTTTTATCGACCTGCAGAAGAACCTTCCGACGCTGAGGCTGGGCGTCTCGAACGACCTGCGTCTGGGGGAGTGGGTGGTGGCCCTGGGCTCGCCGCTCGGCCTCTCCAACACCATCACGGCAGGTCAGTGACATGATAGGCGACCAAGGATCACCACTCCAATGCCTCCACATCAATCTCAAAGGCCAGCGCGTCTGAGCGCTTCTCTAGAAATGATACGGGGTTAGAAGTGTTTACCGTCAGCGCTGGTTCGTTGACACCTCAGTGCGCTATGTGCCAATATCGCTTCTGACACACTCCTCGCCCGTCCGTTGGTTCGGCAGGTGTTGTATCGGCGGTGAACCGGCCCAGTGCCGAGCTCGGTCTCCACGGGAAGGACATGCAGTACATTCAGACGGACGCCGCCATCACGGTACGTAGCACACACCGTTCGTTGGGCGCTCATCTGGTGGGAGGTCAGAAAATGTGTGGTTTACGTTTAACCTCGATAGGAATCGTTTGCCGACTATGGCAACAGCTAGGTAAATACATATTGCCATTTGCTAGCTGGTGAACGTTTATTGGGCATTGTTTTGTCCAGGATGCAGCTAAATATTGCGTTCACATGAACATCAGAACACCATTTTGCTGTCGTGGACACACAGATATAACTCGCAGATATTTGATGATTATGGACGATTTGCCAGTCGGAAGTGTTTGGTAGTTCATAAAAATAAAATAGATGTCTGACCGGTGTCTCTGACTCCCAGTTCGGCAACTCTGGCGGGCCGCTGGTGAACCTCGACGGCGAGGTGATCGGCATCAACGCCATGAAGGTCACCTCCGGCATATCGTTCGCCATTCCGATCGACTACGCCAAGCTGTTCCTGGCCAGGGCGGACGAGGGCAAAATCAGTGAGTCCGGACGACCAGCCGGCCGGGGGGCAGGACAGTCAACTGAGAGATGAAGGATTCGTTGTGTTATGGTAACTTTTTTTGGAACGCATTTAGAGTTTCGACCTTAGAGCAGCGCTGCAGCGTTGTACTGATTGTATTGTATCAGTACAAAATTGTACTGTTGGTACATCAGCGTATCAACGGCGTTACATATGGTAGTCATCCAATGTCACCAGGCGCACTATTGCAGTGTTTCCCGGTTCCCGTCTCATGCACAAGTAATTCGTCGTCCCTGACACGAGTTCTGACCGCCTGCCGCTATCTCCCGTGTGCAGGGCAGCGTCCGGCGCTGTCGCCCGGCGGCCGGCGGTACCTGGGCATCACCATGCTGACGCTGACGCCGGCCATCATCCAGGAGCTGATGCTGCGCCAGCCAGACTTCCCGCAGGACCTGACGCACGGCGTGCTCGTCTGGAAACTGGTCGTAGGCTCTCCGGCACATGCGTGAGTCGTACCACGCAGTTGAACCGAACCGGCGCGGTGGAAGGGGGTGGTAATAGGGAGCATGACCACCAGCCGGGGTTGTGATGAGTGATTGAATGTGAATGTCTGCTGCGAGTCGTCAATGTATTCAAGCTCGCTCCGCGGATAACGCACGCTGTCGGGCCGCTGTATGACTGACACACCATTCCGTCCGTTCCGGCAGGTGCGGCCTGAAGCCGGGCGATGTGATCACGCACATAAACGACCAGCCGATCCGGGCGGCAGCGGACGTGTACCGCCTGCTGGACGGGTCCGACCAGCTGGTGGTGACCGTGCGGAGACACTCGGAGACGCGCCGACTGCGGGTGGCCCCCGAGCCCGCCGCCTGAGGCTCAGGACAGAGTGTTTGGGGGACTGTGACCGGGGAGGGGCGGTGGAAAGGTGACGGAGGACGGCTAGATTGACTTCCGTCACAAAGCGACGTGAACTCGCACGTGAGTCGGCCGCCGGCCATGCCTTCAGTGGTGTGCCTGGGAGTCGATCGAGCAGAGGGCGCCAGCGAGGCTTGGATGAGTGTTCTCCATTTTTCTGCCGGCTGAGAAGATCGAAGGCTAATGCTGTGCCTTGAACGTCTGACGGCGCAGCTTTCAGGGATGGAGTGGCAAAGTTGTGTGGTAACATGCCGTTCTAAAGGGTTCGGCTCCGTGTGATACCATTGTGTTTTAGGTCTGACATCGAATTGACCGAGTAGTCGATTCGTCCCCGACTGCAATTACAGCTCGTCTGCCAGCTATGCGAGTGTTTGGAAACGCAATGTAGATTTATCGGAAAGTGTTCACACAATGAACTGTGCAAATAATAAAACAAAATGTGCAATACGTGCCGCTGGTGCAAACGTAACATGGATTAGCCTGGTGAGGCGCTAATTGATGCTTAGAGAGGGACCGATGCGCTTTTAGCCATGGTACAATGCTGGTTCAAAATCCCACACAGAAGGAAAGGATAAAATGAGTCGAGACCGGCTGCGACGGCATCTGACAAAACATTGGAATTATAGTAGGTAGCACCAGGACGCATTTCGTGTTTGGCTCACGTAGAGGTGGTGGGCGCCGTTCTATGCCCGAAACCTAATCTGTATCAACTTTTCAGAGACGCAGTTGGGAAGTCGGCAACAAGTTAGCGGAATACCCTGTTGCCTCAGCCGCGCTGCTGAGCTGCGCCGAGGACTGAAAACGGAACGCCTGGCTGGGTGTTGCCTGATAATTGTGAGGTGATGCGCCTAGGAGAATCACAACGGCTGTCGTCTGGCGCCCATAACTTCCAGCATTTCTGAATTCCGAAATGAGAGGACCCAGTTACGCATGTAACAAGTGCTGTTCGTCTGTTTTCTGTTTGCTAATGCCTAATATCCGACTCTGCAAACTCACGGTATGGTATTTTTTCTGTTTATTTGTGTATCGTGTGATGGTCGAACAGGCTATTGGACACTGCTGGCGTTGCTGGCGATCCTGGGCCAGAGGTCGGCGCACTCCTTGGAGACGGGGCCTGTCACGGCCGATCCTGCCGGCATACAGGGAGACGCTAATCAGCACGGTCGCCCCCATCGCAAAAAAAAACACGACATACCCGTAACGTCAAATAGACCGTCAACGAGTGCCCGAGTCGCCACCTGTCGTCCAACCGAGTCCACCACCCGAGTCGTCCCTTTACATCCTCTGCGGAACCCAATGTAGGATATTGACAATAGTAACGGGACTAGTGAAAATGTACAAAAATAAATTCATAATATATGCCCAATCCCTTATTTGTCATGGAGAATGGGGCTGTCGGGCCCCATAAAAAGCGTTTCACGCAGGACGACTACATACTGTCACGCAGAAGGTCCAGACAGAGAAAACTGAAAAGCATTAATGAGAATACTGAAAAGCATTAACGTGCATGCATTAACAGCTAAGTTCATTGATGTGTTGAATGTTGATCCCAACAAGCAACAACAGACTAGTCATGTCTGCCGATATTAGTTGGGGACATTAATGTTGCACATATCCGACAACAGTGTGGAAGGGCACCTGCACTGCTGCTAATTATGTGCTGCCCCTCGTCCTGGACCTAACCTCCCGGCTCCGACCCCACCCGATGCTGAAAATGAATGTGATACTGAACATTCATACTGAAAGAATGTTGAGATAAGCGGTGCGCCAACTCCACCAGTGGTTAGTCTCGGGCAACACGGCTATTCTCAGCCCCAGAGGAGCGGTCAGCGGTGAGGGGTGGACTGGAGCCGCCACCTCTCGCGCCGCGCGCGGTGACTCACCCTTCATCTCGCCCTTGTTGTTGACGATGACGCCCGCGTTGTCCTCGAAATAGATGATGGTGCCGTCCTTCCTGCGGATGCTCTTCCGCTGCCGGACCACCACCGCCTGCATTACTGCGGACCGGGGGAGACGGTGATATAAGACAGTGATGGAGCCATACATTGTCGCAACTGGCTAATGCAAACAATGCGTACAACTCGGGCTTAACCCTCGCATGTGTGCGGCGTTTGCCAGCTTCTAATGTGTAGGGGGGGGGGGGGTCGGTTGGACCCCCCCCCCCTTGCCGTTTGGCCCCTGATCGAGCTAGAGCTTCGCGGAAAAAACGAGCGTGTTGCCCGTGACGAGAGGAAGCCGATGATACCCAATTTTAAGGTCCTAGGTCATTGGTTGACCTTCCAGGTCAGGTCAATGACCCAAAGTCGGGAAAATCGAGACCTGTTAGAAAGTCGTAAAGTGTGGCCGCTAAGGGGTTTTTCGGGGTGCTGATCACGAATATCGTGTTAGTTTTGATCACAGATGATGTCTTGAAGCATTTAGACCAGGTCGGGTCAGGTCAGGTCAGGTCAACCAGTAGGCGTCGTGACGGGTATTCGTAGTACGTGTCAACCGCCTCTGACAGCTTCGTAACATGTTACGAAGTCACCAAAACTACTTCGTAAATGTTCAAATGGTTGCTAAATTCGAATTCAGCTCCAAAAACTAGCCTAGAAACATGTAAAACTCGAAAAAGTGACCCGAGGTCACCCGAGGTCACCAAAGGTCAATGACCTGACCTGACCTTCAGGTGACCTTGACACACACGGGAGTAACATCAAATCACATGTTTGAACGTTTGAAACCACGAAAAGCTTGCAAACACGCGGCTAGTGCGAGCCGACATACGCGAAATCGCGATTCCGGCCAAACATGGTCTCGGAAAAGAGGTCACAGGTCAAAGGTCATTTGGGTCAGGGTCATGAAATTTTCAGAGTAGGTGTAAAATTGATCAATGCGAGGGTACTGAAAGTTTCGTCGCGATCGGCCGCTTTTTACGCGAGTTATTCGCGAAAAACCATGGGGGGGGGTCCATCCGACCCCCCCCCCCTACACATGCGAGGGTTAATTTGCAAACAGGCAAGGTAGGTGGATATGTAAAAACCTATGCCAAGACACTCATGACCAGTCAATCTAAATCTGAAAAAGCAAACACCATGGTCCTCAGCTGATGCATGGTGGTTACACATCTGTCGGCGTCTCGTGTCGTGGAAAGCAGCAGAGCCACCGGATCCCAGTGAATGACACGCCATTGATCTAGCACATATCTATACCGGCAATGGGAAACGTTCCAAAGTCGGCTCAAACAAGTGCTGTTCGATATTGTTGGTGCAGACTAAGCCCTAAGGTTGCATATAACATTGACACATTAGGTAATGTGTCAATATGCATGTCGTTCCTCGCCCAGCTCGAGGTCAATGATTCCACGCAGTGCCAGGGATTGGGCGTCTAAGTAGTCCCACCTAACTCGTCTCTCAGCCCAGTAGCGACCGGAGGTAAGCTAAGTTGAAAGGTCGGACAATATAATTCACGTAGGTAGTATCATCAGACACCAACAAATGCCAAATTTTCCCTGCATCGATATTTTGGTAACAAATGGAGGAATAACTTGTAAGAATGGTAGAGCTAAAGCATTGAAGAACATTTGACAGCCCCCTGAAGCTCATTACGGAGCGAGCGAAGCGAGCGGAGTCTCGTTATAGATTAACGGAAATTTCTGAGTATGAGCGGCCGGCCGGCCGGCCGTGCGGACGCTTTTACGAGGCTTATATCTAAGCAACCACTTGACCGATTTACATGCGGTAATTTTTGTTGTAGGGTAGCTTCATTCCTTCTACCAAGTATTGGACTATTCCCGATGCATGTGGGTGATCCCTTATGCACGTGCCACGTGCAAAACGAAGAGGTGTCAGTTTTGTAACAATTGCAATGTCTCGGTAACTACTGGGCCCATTGCGCTGAAAGTTGGCATGTAGGTAGGCAGTAGGCACCCACTAGGCAATGCATATCCATGTGCCACAGTGGGGGTGCTGCTGCACGTGCGCACGTGCAGGGGTCGTTCCCAGATCTCGAGAACGGCTGGACCGATGGCGCTCAAATTTGGTACACGGTTAGGGACCAGTTAGTAGGGTGCCGCTTCCAGATCTCGAGAACGGCTGGGCTGATTGTTCTCAAATTTGGCACATCGCTAAAGACCGGTTAGTAGGGTGCAGTGCACAATTTAGTTGGAGGTACCCCATCGCCATTTCGCACGTGCAAGGCCCACCCTCTCGCTCGCTCTGTTGGTCGTCCCAAAAGGCGTTTTACTGGTTTGCTAAGATGTTAGAGTTGAGGGCAGCCATTTTTAAAGAGAAAAACTTCTGGGTGGGTATCCAAAACACACCCACCCCACGCTAAGGTTCCCAACACGTCAGTGCCCATGAGTCGACAAATCGTCATTCACCCATCAAACATCAGTTGCAAGCTAGCCCGACGCCCACTCACCCTTTTTGCGGAGTTCTGGCTTTCCCTTTTTGACGCAGGCCACGAACATGTCCCCGACGCCGGCAGAGGGCAGTCGGTTCAGGCGGCCGCCGATGGCGTACACGGCGATCACGTACAGGTTCTTGGCGCCTGGCAGAGAACCCGCACACTGTCAACTCATGACACAACACATAGCTCAACCTACACAACCCACATAAACCACACACTCTTCACAGCAATGCCCTGAACTGATTACCTACATGTGGAAATATCATATAGGTATGCAAGAGAAAAATGTCTGATAATGGTAATCAAACCAGGGTAAATGTGTGAACATGAATAAAAAAGTATAACTGCATTGATAAATTGAGTGTTGATCCCAAAAAGCTACAACAGATTGGTCGTGTCTGCCGATATTAGTTGGGAACATTAATGTTGCACATATCCGACAACAGTGAGGAAGGGCACCTGCACTGCTGCTAATAATGTGCTGCCCCCTCGTCCTGGTCACCTCCCAGCTCCGACCCCACCCAATGCCGCAGGAGGGGCCGGTGAAACTCACCGGTGTTGTCGGCGCAGTTCATCACGGCCCCCACTGGCAGAGCCAGCGAGGTCCGGAACTTGGCTCCCGCCGCTCCTCCGCGTCCTGCCAACAACACACGTTTGTCAGTGACATGAATGTTTAACTGGTTTAGTTTCTGTCTCGCACATCAGAATTAGTTTAAAAATAAACTAATAGCTCTTTAAAAATAATCTAATAAGCTCTACCAACTGAGCCTGTCCCGTAGCTCAGTTGGTAGAGCATTGGACTCCCGGTAGTGAGAGCCCGGGTTCGAGACGCTCCGGCGCTCGATATTTGAGACTCCTGACAGGGATGGTCTGCGGTTGGTGGGAGCAGCCGCAGCCAGTTGATGTCAGTTGAGTGGGACAGGCCGTGTCCGGCTTTGAAGGGCACGTTAAACTTTGGCATCTTAATTATCCCGTTACCCGGAATTGCCCGATCGGACGGTAGGGGTCGAGGTCTACGCAATAAGCTCTGCTTAGCGTGGGCTCTGGCTCTGTCAATCCATCCATTCAAACATTCGAACTAAATTTATTAAAAAAAATGTTAATTGGGGCTTTATGGTGCGCCAACTACAAAGGTCATTTTGCGCCCACAAAAATAAATAAGAAATTGAATGAATTTGCGAATGTTGCCATTACAAGCAAGCATAGTCTTCATAAATCAAGAGAAAATGCTTGGCATTAACAGCCAGCCATTGTCATTGGTCACACTTTTGATGAGCTTACATGTAATTATCCACAGATCTTATTTGAAAGCAGTCTTCATCTGATGCACTCTCATACTTCATACAAAACACCACATATTTAAGATGTTTGTGTGACCATCAAGGCACTAAACAATGCACCAAATTTGGTGTCATTGTTCTGTCATGCCCCAATAAATGAGCTAATTATGCTGAAAATTGGTTTTAAAATGCACTGAGTTTCATGTCAGAATTGGGAGGTTACTGAAGTGCAGGCACCATTTCTAATCTTAACAGTGGCTGGGTCAGCCACACTTAAACTTGGTCGGTACGGAACAAGCCAACAGGTAGCCAGTACTAATTGGAATGTGTGTGACTGACGACTGAACATTGCACTATTACAGGCTGTGCTCACTATTGCAGTTCTTGCTTCTAGCTCCAAAGTAATCTAATGACTGTGGTTTTCTGCCTTTCTTCTAAAATTTGTTGAGATTCAGTTAATGAATAAGTATGAGATCATAGGTAACGGTACTGCCATGGTTAATAAGGTTGTAGAGTTTATTCATCTCCAAATGGAAGCTGGAGATACATCAAGATGAGCAATGTCAATAACTCCTTCAACATGGATAAGCAATGGTTTCATAATACTGTGTTGGCCTATTTCACATGAAACAAACCATCTGGTTTCTGGTCTGTTTAAATGTTTCAGCCATTTGTGTAGCACATATCCGACAACAATGGAGAAAAATACCAGCACTGCTGCTAATTATGAGTAAATTAGATGGATAGCTCCAATCTAACAAACTATAAGGATATGAGCTCTGTTCGCCCCCAGCTTATTTATCAGCAGGCTGCAAGCATGCTGCAACTTCTTGGCTCCTCATTCGTCGACGAATTGAAGTGGTCTATTCGTTAACCAATGAGAGGCCAAGAAGCGCCAGCAACAACTTCCATATGTGAGGACAACCGACAGCACGCTGATCAAGTACAATTGGGTCAGCATGGCCTCTTGCACATTGACTTTTGAGCAGCATAATAAAGGTGAGTTGACGCAATTTTTTTTCTTCCTATTCCATGCTAGCTCTAGCTTCATTCAGACATTCTGACAAAATTACAGATATCTATAAAAATGTTTATTCTCAAAATATAAAAGAAAAACAAAAAAAAACAATCGAAAAGAAACGGAACCCTCTAATTAAGTTTAGTCTATAATGCGCAACGAACGCGCCACGTGAGCAAGGAGGAATAAAAACACCACGGGAGGGCATCAGACCGTTGATTTATACAAACAGCATGATGAAAAATATTAATATTATGTCATATTCTACAATAAAAGCACAGCGAGAAACAGTAGAACCTCACCAATTCAGAAATAAATTGAAAAACATGTTCACCTACCTCTCTTCGACATTTTGGGATCTCAAAAGGAAGTGTACATTGCCTAGTGATGGTATGTCTTCATCCGAATATTTTCTAAAAATACGACCAATTCATGCATGAAAGTAACCAAACACACCTTGAAAATTATCGATCTCTTTTTAATTTATTAGAAACAAATCGAGCAATAAGCAGATTAGATTTTTCGATAACATACCCCACAAAACAAAGAAGCTCTAGACATTGACCAGTAATTCAAAAATGTTAGGCAATACATACACTTCTTCGCGATAAACAAGCGGTCGCAAGTCAGCCCTGCATTGACAAACATCAGTGAAAACTCGAAATAACTTGCGCAAAAGACCCATTCAATTGCTTTCTTAAGTCCTATTTAATTTCCGTTTTTGCGCCACTACCCATGGCGCATGCCGGTTTTGATATGTAGAAGCTGCCGTGCGCACGATCAGATCTCAGACCTTGTTTCATACTGGATATAAATGGCAGGGGTGGACAATTGTGCCGAGTTGGAGTAGCACGAGTCTTCCCGATTCCACGCCGGCTGCGCCAGCTTGGCTTTGGAGCCGCACCAGACTGCGGAGGTCAAGGTCACCGCTAGGGCGGCGGCGGATTTGCTGCGTCCGTGCAGTGGCGGATCCAGGAGAGGGCAAAACGGGCATTTGCCCTCCCCAAAGCTAAATCGTGTGGGCAAGACTATCTTTTTGCCCCTCCCAAAGCATGCTGAGATGAGAAAATCTAATAGGGCGTCGATGCCTATCTGAACGAAAAGTAGGACCTTCCGTGACGGCCATTCTGAAGGAAGGTGCTGACCGCTCGCTGCTGATGATTCAGGTCGATATGCTGTAACAGATGGAACTCCCTGGCCTGAACTGAACGCATGCAGCTGTAGTGTAGCGTTGTAAAGTCGCTTGGTCACCGGTGCGGCGGTGGGTCGGGGTGGCAGAATGGGTCAGAAACTTTTGCCCTCCCCAAACAGATCGGCTGGATCCGCCCCTGCGTCCGTGCAACCCCACTCGGCATACCTACTTCTCTACCCCTGATAAATGGTACGGACTTGCGCGTGCCAGGCACCCTTCTAACTGGTCACCAACGCTGGCAACTTCCGATCCGTGATAAAATAATCACTGGCGCCACCACCGTCCACACTCCACAGAGATGCTGCGGCCTGTAACGGAACCATGCCCAGTGCCCACTGCCAGTGCCCAGTGCCCATACCCTGCAGACCGCAGAGCTCCACGGCTCCGCTCGCTGCGCCGACCGTGACTTCCGCGCGGACGGCCGCGGAAGGTACGGACGAGTGAGAACCAGGCAGCTGCGGTACGAGCTGGAGGCCCGGGCGGTCGGGCTGGACGGAAGTGAGGCAAGACTGTCACGAACTGCAGAGGCAGGACGCTGGAAATACGGCACGCCGCACACGGGCATGCGATTGGATCGGTGGGGAAACTGTTGCCTACGTGAGTGCACTAAAAGCCAACTAAGCGTGAATACACATATGTAAGCATGTAGGGGAAGATGGGGTAACACCGCTCTTTGGGGAACACCGCCCAACCCGATATCAGAAATATGAAAAGGTCTAGGGTGACAGCTGACTGTCTTTTGGCAGCGTGACGTCAACACAAGTGCAGGTATGTGCACTGTGCACTGTGCAGTGCACTGCATTGGTTTAGGTGGTTTGCGAGAAAATCCTCATTTTACGTTTCGTGAATACGTTTTATACTATTTTTCTAGCATAATAAGCGAAAGAAAACCTATCTTATTTGACAGACATTAGTCCTGAAGTAGTATTTTTGCCATAATTAGGACTCATCCAAGCATTACGTGCTCCTGCTCGAGCGGAATTTTTGTCGTGCTGCCATATTGAAAAATGCAGACATTTGGGTAACACCACCCACTTGGGCAATTTGGTATTTAATAGCACATTGTGCGGAAAGACGCGGTAAAAGGCAGTCGATAGCTCTCAATGCGCACGTTTGAAAATATTTCGACCATTTTTTATCTTAAAGCAATATTGGGGTCACCAGAGGTCATCAAAGGTCAAAATTTGCCAAATGTCATTATATTTTCAGAAAACATGCCGTTATCTCAGGAACTATAATAGCTAGAAAAGCGCATGGGAAAGAAATCGATAACTTTTGAACTCCTCTTTTGATAAGGTTACCATCAAAATTGACCTAATCAAAATATACGTGTATAGTGCCGGACTATCGCATCAGAAGGCACAGAAGAATATGCTTTATAAAACTCTTTTTTTTTGCAATTTTGTCACCGCTTCAGAGCTACAGTAGATGCCAGAGTCCTTTGAAAGTTGCAGTGCACGATGTAATAAGGCCATTGGTAGTTACAACTTGTATGTCTCGGAATCTTATAAGTTCATCGTACTTAAATCCCCCAAGAAATCGCTCGGGTCGAAGCTTTCGAATTGTATCACAAAACTCCGTCAGCGTGTCGTAATCGGGTTCGGGGGTATCGGTCGCAAAATTGAGGACGTTTTGCGACCGATTGGATTCCCCGTGATGGGGTACATCGAAATAGGTACCCTTTTTATGAAAAAGTATCAACTTCGAAATTTGACCTTTTTTACCAGACCTTGACCTAACCTCCACCAGAAAGTAACCTAAACCGTCCCTCATGGTCGTCTAACCAAAACCATTGAGTTGGAAATGAAAAATTGCTCATAAAACATGTATCACACGGCCCTAGTTAAGTTGGGTTCATAGTGTTGACCCTTGGTGACCTGACCTCTGTGACTTGACCTGGTATCAGTGACGTCTTTTAGCAACATCTGTACTAGGCAACCGAAGCTTTATCGATGGTTTTCGATAAAATGCCTTTTAAATTTTAATTAATGTTATAACGCATTTTTTAGAAGGCCCGTGAACGGCGAAACATTTTAACTTTGACTTGACCTGTGACGTCATCAGTGATCCTGAGGTCAATGAAATTAATTCTGTCAAGGCAACAGGGCTATCAAACGCCGTTTGAGTTTTGCGAATCCGTCCAATAGTTTCGGAGAAACGGGGGTGGGCAAAACATAGCCCCCACCAGTGTAAGGCTTAAGGTTACGTGATCCGAGGTCAACCTTTGACCTTGACCTTTCGAAGTCAACACATATATGCGACGAGGCGATATTACGAGAGGAGTACGATGCTGCTAATTGCTATTATGCAGTTTTTGCCTAGCTTTATTACTTCAAAAGTGATACGTGAAAAACTATCTCTAGAAACGCTATTTTGACGGAAATGCAATCAATTATACCTACATCATTTTGTAGCTAATTCGTTGAGAAACACGGTCATGAAGGTTTCACGTCGCTATCTTTCATAGATTCGCTGATATTGGCTAAGTAATTTGGATAATTGCAGCTTTCCCCGAAATTTGACCTTTGACCTGCCATAACTCGGTCAAATATTGAATTTAGGGTAAAAAAATATACCACCAATCGTGAGTATATAGGTACTCGTTGAGAGCAATCGACTGCTCAATTTGTTGCGAAGCGAGCTACGACGCTTAGTTTCGAAACGCCGGGGGAGGGGTATGAAAAATACCCTGCCAGGGCGAGGGTTTTGACATAACAGTCGAACTGATATTTGGTCTCACGTCACTTAGGGTCTATGTCTCCATGGAATGTATACGTATTGCTGGTTATTTTCATTATTTATGTTCAGTACCGACTGCCCAGGTCAGTTCAAATACCTATTGTCAAAATATATACCTGTTCGCTGTCCTTAACCCTATTAGTGGCAGGCTCCTGGCTACCCCATATTAGTCGCAGGGGGGGGGGGGGCTGTTTACGACCCCCCTTGATATCTCGAGATCTAACCGGCCGATTTTCAAAATTCAAACGGCATTCGATTTGGCTCAACGAGATCTACATTTCTAAAAAAAATAAAATTAAAAAATGTCAATAGGGGGGTAGAGGGGGGGGGGGGGGGGGGGGGGGAAACGGGCAAATTGCAGATACATTTTAGACTGTTTATCACGGCCAGGTTTCTGAACCAATCTTAACGCAACTTTTGCCGATCGATAGAGAATGAACCAGGAATTCACATGGATCCTAAAAATATGCATTTTCAAAAATCATAGGTGGATACAGATCATTGAGATTGGGGGTACACAAAAAGTATAGTAAATAAGGTTTTTGTTGGTACTGTTTCTAAAAAGGGTGGCAATGGTCTTGTTATGTTACAATTTTCTTATGAGAGAACGACTAAAATTGTATTGGTCATGCATAGGCGGTGTCAGGGCACCTATGTTGGGAGGTAAAAAATAACCCCCCTTTTTGGACGCCTGGATCCACCTATTATAGCAAAAACGTGTCAAAAGAGGATGAACAATAACTTTGTATATGTTATCACATGATACCTTTCATTCACTGTTCGTAAAACTGGTGCAGCATCGTGACCTTCGCCCAAATGACTCGCTTCACGAATAGGACCCCCCAATTCCCAGTGCTCTGGAGCCGCCCCTGGTAAAGTTATGAACTTGAAATTTTCAGGGAATGTGCCCAATTTAGTTTTAGGAAAAGTCAGAAAATTTCAGCATCGTAGCTTCAGCGGTTTCGGAGATATTCCCGAAAAACCTGAGGGGTGGATAAAAACAACCCCCCCCCCTGCCACTAATAGGGTTAATACCACTCACACAAACTTGTGTCTTCTTTCAAAGTTGTCAGTTTCTCACAAGCTCTTCCCGGCGTACTCCCGATTACGTGTGAGAGGCGCGCGAAGGAGACGCCTGGCTGGGCGCCGCTCATGGATAGATCGTAGGATGAGTCTCCGACCCGTCTGGTCACGGCGAAACTTAGCAGGGAGGGTTCAGGGCACCTCGACGGCGGCCGAACGCCAGCGGAGCGCCGTAACTAATGGGTGTGACACTGTGTCAACAAACGCCGCTGAGTGACGAGCCGAGGGGACCGTCGAAACGCGCGGGCCATACAGCTAGAGACATCTCTCGGCGATTTTATGAACTAGCTGTGCAATGACTTTCAAATGAATAGAACTGCATAGTGATGCATGCAATGATGATTCACTCTACATGATTGTGTAGAGAATCGATGTCTTTATGATTCGTAGCAGCCACATTTTTGAAATTGTTGTCATGGCTTTCATGCAATGCACTGCAAGATGAAAATTGTGTCATGCAA